TTGCAAGTTTTTGCGTACGAAAACGCCAAAACATGAAAATTCGTAAAAACTTTTACTGGATTTTACTGGAAATGAGTAAAAAAACGCAACTATTATTAATAAATTATTGCACAGATATCCCAGCAAACAATTAGGTTTGATATACATTTGAGAAGGATTTGAAATCAAAGCCTTTCTCAAATGCCAAACGTTTGTAAATGATTTGATATTGATTTGAAAATTACAGCTTTCTCAATGAAAAGGGGAGTTTGATCTCCATTTGAGAATATGTTTAACTCTCAAATCGATTTCAAAGGTTATTTATCAATTGTACTTCAAATGTGGAAATAAAATTTATTATAGGAAATGTATGTTTCATATTTATTTCTTCTTCCCGATGTACATATGTATGTACATAACAAAAGAAACACTTAAGATAAAGTAATTTATAATAAATTCGTCTTGAAGGGCTGCAGCTTCTTCAATCCGTGCAAACATCAAATCCACTATTNACGCAAACATCAATTCCACTATTTGTGGGCTTTCTCTTTGAAAATTTGTTTCCATTCATTGTATTTTTTAAATTGATCTTAGTTTTATTTTTACAATTTTTGATTTAACTGCGCATTTTATATAGTTTGACACTTGCCATCTTTCTTCAAATCAACCTCAAATTAACTTCAAATGTAAAATTTAAACCACGTTTTCAATTTGAGAATCATTTGAGAAAAACATTTAATATCAAATTGAGAAATATATTTTTCTCAAACGTTTGAAACTGTGTTTGCTGGGTAGTACCGTTTTTGTCAATGTATTNTAAATTTTTTTTTGTCTACAAATGTGTAAAAGGTTTTTGATTCGATTCACGCGTTTGGGCACAATCGCTGTACAAGTTCATAAACAGTACCCGATACCCGTTTACTTTCGAACACAAGTCATCAATTCCATTCCCAGTCGCCATGATCGAGCAATCGTCGGCGTAAGAGACAATCGAGACTACCTCTGGTGGTTGAGGGAGCTTTGAAATATAAAAGTTGAACAGTATGGCTGGCGTAGCCGTATTTGGACGGATGATCGTTATTTTTTGAAGCTGTAGGCCGCCAAAGCAGATAGGAGTTGAACGCAAAAATACCGTGGATGGTATAGGCGATGATGAGGGACTAAATTTCACTGCGTTATGCTTTTAATCGGCTATGTATATATGCTAAAAATTGTAAAAATACCTATGGAACATGACAAGTTATACAATCTAGGTCGCGGCTGTATGTATGTATGGATCACTCTCATCACTCAAGCCAGGTTAAGTTAAACATTAGAACAATAATACAACAATTTACATTTAATATGTTGATAAAATCAAATATTAGCAGTTCTACTCACCCTGACTCCAAGAAAACGCGCCTCCAACAGCTCCTGCTTGCGCGGATCCAGCGTCGCCTGAAAATGATCCATTGCCTTGATGCTCTCTTAATAATACAATTATATTATTTATTATTATTGTTTTTCACTTTCCCACACTTTCAATTTCTTTAAAATGTATGTGCACAAGATAAAATTCGCTAACGAAAAACACTTCTCAACAAAACCCGGCAAAAGCCGGTAGGCACTGCATAGCCGACTCACAAGTTTTTTTTTTGCTACTCTGTTGCTCGTTCAAAACAACCTGAACAATCCGAGAATGGAAATCTGGCAGCACAACAAAAGCACACAGCCAACGACACTGCGGCTCAACTTACGTTTCGTTGTCAATTACGTTACGTTGGCACATTTTTTTATTTTGCTGATAGCAAGCTACTCTCTCAACCTTGCAGCAAATCCGAATCTTGCAAACTGCAATATTTATGGGCAAGCCAAGTTTGTTTCCGTCTTCTCTTATATTTCGACCACACAAATAAATTCTTAAATGTCAATACATCAGGAATATTCACTTTTTAAAACACTGTTGTTTGTGTGGTGTACAATTTTCCACTTTAAACCCGGAGATATCTTTTAACGCAACACGCACAGAGAGACCACAGCAAATTAACGTAGCAAATTATCGCAACAACGGTGGGAGAAAAATGCATAAATTTACACGCACGTACACACAAACAAAAAGAGCTGCGCAGGTTTAAGTGCTGCCACATGATTTTAATTTTAAATAAAGTTAAGAGCTGATGAAGTACTCTTTTGTACGATAAAAGTTAAAAAAAACTGTCTGCATTTGAGGTATTTTAAATAACAGTAACAGTATTTAAATTTTAAATCAGTATTTTAAAAGTATTTTGATTAGGAACTTATAAATTTTTTACAATCTGCAAAATTGACGAAGTGGCAACCATCTATAGAAGGAAGAAATCAGCTGACACGGAAAAAGCTGAAATTAGTCAAGAACGCAGAACGTATACTTAAAGGCAGTCTGTATACGCAGAATTTTGTCGATTGCTGGAGCCCTCAGTGTTGCTTACTACAGTGTTGCCACTCATCAATGCCTTTTCATAAACTTACCTTTTCATGTACAATTTTTCGTGCTATAATAGATCGTTGCTAAATATAAACTACTTAGTTTTCAACAAAAAACCTTATTCAATAATAAATTTCAAA